CGACATGAAAATATCGCAGGATCAGAATGTCCATATTTTTCTTTGGAAAATCCCAACATCCGTCACTAGATGTCGCCTAAACAGAGTAAAGTGGATAATGATAAAATAAAAAATAGACGCCACTTAATATGGTGATGGTAATAATGTGTTAATGTAATAATAATTCGGTTCTAATAAATATTTCTTATGTTTCAGGGCTAATGGTAAGGATAATTTAATGTAAATGGTTAGAAATTCGCAATTTAATCGCCAATTTCTTACTTGGGAATTTCAATGTAAATGTATCGTTGGATACAAAGTAACGAAGAAGTACTGATCATAGAATTATCTGAAATCGTCTTTTGGTATTATTTTGCGGCAGTTGATTGAAAAAAAAAAGGAAAAAAAGAAAAAAAAATGTGTGGCCCATGAGGGGATCGAACCCGCGACCTTCGCGTTATTAGCACGACGCTCTAACCAACTGAGCTAATGGGCCGTTATGACAAAATATCCTAAAGATGATAAAAGTATTCTTGACCATAAAATGATCTGAAATTATTTTTTGACATTATACCACGGCAGTTTCTTTAAAAAAGAAAAAAGGAAAAAAAAGTGTGGCCCATGAGGGGATCGAACCCGCGACCTTCGCGTTATTAGCACGACGCTCTAACCAACTGAGCTAATGGGCCGTTGTGGAGAGGAGTCCTAAAAATGATACAAGTAGCGTAGTATTTTCCCCTATTATTTCATAATATAACAAAATCTGCAATTGACAGTAAAGATACTAATAAATATTCATGTTAATTCGGCAAGGAGTTATGCGCAATAAATATCTTTTTTCGTTATGGAAGAGGGGAAATTCGTCATGAAGACTTCGCTTTTACAGCGGGGTACCGTCGGAGTCTCATTAACCATGACTCTTCTATTTTCGCCCTTAGAACAGTTTATAATTGCTTTTTGACATTGCAACGCGACTGTCGATAATAAAAAAGAAAAAAAAATGAGTGGCCCATGAGGGGATCGAACCCGCGACCTTCGCGTTATTAGCACGACGCTCTAACCAACTGAGCTAATGGGCCATTGTGAGTGCGATGTCTAAAAACATGTACATGAACAGTTAAATAGAAATTGGATCATATGTATTTAACTTTATTGAATAAACATGCACAAAAAATGTAATTATATTTTTTTAAAAATAGATTTCAATTATTTTTCTTCGTTTCCGAGTATAATTTATCTCAAGTGCGTACGTGAGAATATTGAAAAGTACCAGATTGCATCTACAAAATGCAAATCCATGACATAGTATTGGGTAAAAATTATCTAATTTCTGTTTAAGGGTTACCGTAAAATGTTTCCTACAGTCTTCTGTAATATGACAATCCGCACTTTGAGATTAAGAGCGTGGATATAAAGAAATATTGACGTTAAATGGGCACGGACATATGTATCGATCCACCACGTATGTACAGTGGCGGACATAAATTCCTTCTCGCCGTACACTAGCGGCGCCGTCCCTGCAGCGAAGTCATCGATGTCTAACACTGTACATCTGAAAGAGCCAACAATTTTGATGGTTTTCCTTATTTCTCTGTACGCAATTTATCAAAACATGAAAAATACGTAATTGATACAGGAAATGTGAGTAATTTAAAGAAAAAAAAAATGTGGCCCATGAGGGGATCGAACCCGCGACCTTCGCGTTATTAGCACGACGCTCTAACCAACTGAGCTAATGGGCCGTCGTGGTGCCTTTTTCTAAAGACTGTACATATAGCGTAGTCTCTTACTTATAAATTATTATGATATGATACTTTTAAATCTGCAATTGACAACAACAATGTCAACAAATATTATTATTAATTCAACGGATATCTAAGTGTACATAGTGCGTACGTTTGGAAACGTCATAGTCAATACAATTCTTCCTGATATTTTTTTTTACCGGCGATTACAGTGACAAGCGCAAATGCAAAATCCGCAATTAATAACAAGGATGTCAAGAAAAATTGACAATTAGTAAGCCTGAACCGACATACACATCACGCCCACTTTTGAAAACCTCAAATTTATCATAGTGTTCCCTCCAACCTTTTCTTTTATTGAAACTTCGACAACTAAAATCCCGCAATTAACAGCGGGGATGTCAAAAAATGTTCACGTTACATCGACGCAGTCATATGTACGGATTTAGACGCTTACGTGTCTCTGAAAGAGTGGAGGATTTTCCCATTTCCTCTCTTACACAATTTTGTGGAACAGGAAAAATCTGCAGTTGACGCGAGAAACATGTGGATTTGTAAAAGTTTGAAGGTAAAGTGGCCACCCGTGTCGGTGAGATTCCCATGAATGCGTAATTCTGAAAGAGGGACAGGGGCAGGAGGGGAATTATAAGGGAAATCCTAATGCGACTATAATAAGGGTGCGACGAACAAGGGATGAAGAGGCGTCGGTACGCCGGGGGCGCCGTTTAAAACGCCCGATCTCGTGCAAACGTGGCCGTTTGCGCACACACACGGGTGTCGGGGAAAATCAAAAAAGGAGTTGCAACCTCCTTTTTACTCGGTCCTTTTTCTTTCCTTCCATCCCTCGGTAATTCGAGCCGAGAGAGCGGACTCGCGTTTCCGCGGGGATGTATTCCCTCGGGGTACTTTCTCGGGCGCGAGGTCTCCTCTCTTTATGCTTTTAATTCCCATCGTCGTACGTCGGCCTCTGCTCTCTTCCTTCGTAATTAAGTTTCAACTCCCCCCCTACCTCTGCAAACGCCCGATGCAATTACGCGCAAGGGTCGTCACAGGTGAATTATTAGAAATATGTTTGTCCGATTTTCGCGTCTGGAGTTTCGCTTTGGCCTTCGTCAAAGGAGACGTCGAGGCTGGATTTTCGCGACCCAGTCCCCTCAAAAATTCTGTTATAAATCGTACTTTCGAATGATATTAACACATTCGCGACCGCTGACGTGAATTCACGTAATTTTAAATTTTATTCCTGATTACCGCTGACGTGAATTCCTCATTTTAAATACTATTCCTGATTGCCGCAGATGTGAAGTCACGTAATTTTAAATTATATTCCTGATTACCGCTAACGTGAATTCACGTCATTTTAAATTCTATCCATGATTACCGCTGACGTGAATCACGTCCTGCTTAGTTGGCTCACTAATTGTATACAAGTTTGCGGTAACCAGTTTCAGAATTTCATTATTTTCGCCGGTATTCAGTATTTGAAACGGAAAAAATTTGCCGGTCGCGAATGTGTTAACGGGATGAGCACTCTGCCTTTCGTTGGAAATATTTTGCCATAATGTTGGCAACTGACTCGTCTTCTCGATTAATTGTTGAATTTCTCTAGAGTTGGCCCATTTCATAAGTGGACATGGACCAGTGCAAGGTTACGGTCTAGGAGGGTTGCGGTTGTTTTGGGATTTTTTCGAATTAAGGACAATTTCGCTCGGAATTTAAAAATATTTTTGGCAAAACCTTGCCCAACTCATTTTTGTCGGGAAGGGTCGTGACCTACTTTTCGCTTCATTTACTCACGCCAGGAATATTGTATCTATATTTTCTGTTTTATGTTCAGCCTTTATGCACTTCTGTGATGCCCGAGTTTCCGAGGGGTTCTCTAGTTACTCGGGAAACCCATTCGGGTCTTTTCAAATAAACCTCAAATTTTCAAACGTTCGTCTATTTTAGACGTGGACATGGACAAGCGCAAAATTATGGCGTATGAGGGTAGCTTTTACTTAGAGACCTTACCGAATTAAAAACAATTTCATCCATAATTTGAAAATACTTTGGCAAAAAGTTATCCAAATAATTCCATCTAGAAGGGTCGAGGCCTACTTTTCGATTATTTACTTGCGCCAGGAATTTTCAATACATATTGTAATATTTATGTATTTATAACGTATATATACCAGGTGCCTATGTTGTTTAAGAGGTTCTCAAATTACTCGAGGAACCCATTCGAGCCTTTTTAAATAATCGTCGAATTTTCAAGCATTGCTTTATTATGGAAATAGATTTATCGTCAAATCAGCGCAAGATCTGTGACTCGCTCTGTATAAGAGTCGCATTTATTTAGAGATTTCTTCGAATTAAGGACAATTTCGCCCGCAATCAAGGCCAATTCAAACACCCCGACCATTGCTCGGCCTGCCTCTCTATCTACGTTATTCCAGTAATTGAGGAAACCGAACGGCCGAGATCCTCAAATCGCAAATCCGTATTTGAGTTTGCGGCGAACTTCTCGAGAAAACTCTCTTAGGCTATCTATATCGGCTCGTTAGCCTTCTTCGTCTTGCCCGCTAATTTCGTTCCTCCTTTCCCCGCTCCATTTCCGGAAAGATTCCAATCGCCCCCGAAACGGAATCGCTGAAGATGGCGATCAAATTGCGCCCACAGACTAGGACTCTAAAAAGATTTTCAAGATTTTGTGCAAAAAGTAACGCTACCACAGCAGATGATACTTTTCAATTGGCAATTTTCTCTCGGTGGAAAGAGTAAAGAATATTTCGCGGAATTGTTTCATGGACGAGGTAATTCAATAAATTCAAGTACCGATCGCGATGGCAACGCCCTTTGGCAAAACCAGAAAACAGGGACCGGTGGTTCCTGGTCGATCCATGGAATTCAAAAAGTCCTAAAACTGACGGAATGACGCGTGTCAAACCTGTCGCTCTAAACGGCAGCTTTATGTTCCCGACATTTTCTGAATGCACCTGTTTCCGCAACGGTGACCCGTGAATTGAAAACGGTTTCCCGTGGGTCGCCGCAATCTGTGGTGTGGGTTCTACATCGGCGGATATCAAGAATTCCGCGACTTTAAAGCGATTGAAACGTCTTTCAATATCGTACCAACAGAAAGGGCGTATTATATTATTCTCTAAAATATGAACATATCAAAGAGAAATGAAAAAAAAAAACGGGCTCGGCAGAAAGGAAATGGACGCATTGGACGATTGTTCAAAGATGTATAAAATAAAATAGTTATATTAATAATTTATTTATTTCTTCCAGATACTGCGTGACGTTTACGGTGACCAAGGCCTCGAAGGCGTGTTACAAGGAACCGAATCTATCAGGCTTCACGGAAGGTAAAAAAACGAGATACCCGTCGTTGCACATTTTTTATTTCCTCCGTTATATCACCTTTTAATACTCGTATACGAGAAATGATGGCAAAGTATAATCTATCGTCCTTATAATTTTTTAAACACGCCCTCGCCACGCGACTCAGCCCTGAAGAGCACTAGTCCATCTTGGAATCGATTCCGCGTCGAGTTCGTTCATCCGGTTGCGGCCTGTTACGATGTTACTGGAAATGGCTTCCCACTTTTTGCTCCTCCATTGCCCTTTTCCTTTCCTTTTTCTCTCTTCAATTTGTCGCCGTGCTCGGTTTCCTTGTCTCCTTTCTCCGATTCTGTCTGCTTTTAACTGGCTTTCCGGATCCCTTTTTTCTTCCCTCTCTGCCGCGACTTATTCTTCAAAGAGCTTCGTGTGGCTTCTTTTCCTTCCTGCACTATTGAACCTTCTTATATAATGGTATTGTAAATTCGCATGCTAAAAAGTGGGGGTGTAACGAAAAGAAACGTTTAGACTGGGACCATAACGTGCGTGTTAACGGACATTGTTCACCTCAATAGGTCATAATATACTTCTAGACTATGAGAAAGGTCCTGTCCGCCATGAATTCCAGTTTTTATAAAGTATAAAAAAAATTAAAATTTCATGAGAATTAGGACCTTCTTTACAGCCTTCATATTGTAAAGTTTGGAACGATTCGGTACACCCAGTTCGGAGAAAAATGTCATAACGCCACTTTTACATCGCCTTAACCGTTTGAGTCCTAGGGGGTATTGAAAAAACACTGTCGAAGAATCCCGAACAGCGCAACCGCGCTTTCTCTAAATGAGCACGAGAAGACCCAAGCAGCGCGATAGCGCTTTGTTTATTTTATGTCGATGAATCCCACTCGCGTAGCGCCATAGCGTTTCTTGAATTGTAAGATGTATTATTTACATTAACCCCTTGCGTTACATTCCAATAGCGCGTGTCATAAACAACAAAAGTGTCGGTCATACATCGGCCCATTTCACGGTTTGGCTGAACGTAACTTCTCATACGTTTTGTTTACATTTGGCCCGATTGACATACCACGTCTCTCATATGTTTTGTTCACGTTTGGCTCGATTGATTTATCACGTCTCTCACACGATATTGTAAGTTAAGAGGTTAAAAGAAGGAGCTGTGTAATGTACTTGGGTCAGTGAATCTGAGCGCGCGACTTTGACAATCGGTGACGCACCGTCAGTTGTCCACAACGTTCGAAATGTGCTGGGTTTTCTCGACATAAAATCTGTACAGCGCGATCGCGCTGCCTGGGACTCAAATGGTTAAATTGTTTATAGACATTTTTTCGATTTTTTATACAAACTGAAATTTTATGGGCATCAGGACCTTCCTTATAGGCTCCACATTCACATTGTAAAGCTCGAAGCGAGTCGATATACCCTTTACAGAGAAAAGTATCATGAACGATTGATGTCCTTAGAATCCGTTTTCGCACCACCTTAACACTAAACTTACCACCGGCGGGTCAGTTCCACGTCCGCGGACACATCAACAATGCATTTTAAAAAATTTGTTCATGCACGTAAGTTCTAAAAATTAATATATTTCCTTGAACATTCAGGATCCCGAGTGTGCGTGCGCTGCCAAACGCAGGCCTTGAGGCGCGTCCTGGACTGGCGATGCGAAGGCGACGGAGGCACCGAGGCGATGATCACCAGGTGGAGCATGTTGTCCTCGGCTCACTGCCACGGAAAGTGGCTCCGCACCAAGAAGACAGGCCCCGAGTGCGACGCCGCCCTCTGCCAGCCCCAGCCACACTTCATCTTCGTCTGAAGAGGTCCATCGAGGGCGCGGAAGACCTCGGCGAAGACGCGCCACCTCGACGCCATCCGACCAGGGGTGGATCCTCCAGAACGACGCGAGCTGCCTTCGGGAGGACGTCAAAATGAACCCAGGATAAGGGACTCCTTGGTCCCGTCGTCTTCGGCGTGCCGACGATGGACTCGACTCGCTTAGACTCGACTAGGGCGCGTCTCCACCTCGAATTCCGTCTTCGGGCCAATGGATCGCCATTATTCGCGACCTCTCCGGGATCTTCGGCTCCGCCGACCTCGAATGGAATCCCATAGGATCCGCGAAGTCCATTCGGAGTCGCTGGGGCTGCGTCGTCTCTTCCGGGGGCCCGGTTCGGCTTGATTCCCTGATGGACACTTCCTGGGGGTGCTTTTCGGCGGGTGAATCGGGCAGAAGCGGTTCCGTGCCCGATGGACCGGAATGGGGATCCAATGGGAGATCCTTTTTCTTCGTGGGGTTCTCGAGAAATATTGGAAATCTGCGGGAGAGTGATAAGAATTGTGCCAGCGGTCCTGAGAATTCTCTTGTTCTACTCTTCTCGAGCTGTTAGGTTGACAATTAGTTGATGGTCAGCTCTGGTATAGTTGAGGTTAGGGCAGGTAGGGTGGAGTGCCACTCCGATTTCTCGAGGAAAAGCTGGAGGAGAACGGTCTTGAATTGATTTATTTAAAAATTGAGAATCTGGGGAGGAAATGCAGGAATTGCATCCATCGGCGTGGGAGTTCTCTTTGGCTGGTCTAGTGGTTAGTTCCTGTTAATAATCAGCCCGTGTCAATTTGAGGTTACAGCAAATACGAATTGCGAACGCAATTGACTGGCCGCTTCGATTGTACAGAATTAACAACACCTGAAATAGGGTATTCTCGGGTGGCATTTAAAAAATGGAGCACTCGCACAAAATTGATGAAACACTCCCACACAAGGATTCCCTTGTTTTATTAACCTAGTAGTCTCTGTCTGTCGATGGTCAACCCGTGTCTATTTAAGGTCTCGGCAAATAGGAACTTGAAACTCAAGTGACTGGTCGTTTCGATTATACAGAATTAATAACATCCAAAATAGCGTATTCTTGAGTGATATTTAGTAAATGGGGGATTCTTAGGAAATTCATACAAATTTAATAGGATCAAACGGGGACTCTTTTGTTTTACTAGTCTAGTAGTCCCTATCTGTTCATGGTCAGCCCGAGTGTACCTGAAGTTATAGACAAAAGAATAGATGAACACTTCGATTATGGGGAATTACTGAAAACTGAAGTAGCGTATTCTTGGCTGCATTTTTTCTATATTAATTTAATACTTGCAGACATGTCGCAAAAGTGTCCTACATATATGTGGGAGCTCTCTTGTTTTCCCGGCCTAGTAGTTACTGCCCCCTGATGGTCAACCCGTGTCTATTTGAGGTTACAGCAAATACGAATTACGCGTGTACCACGAATGAGCGGGCACTTCGATTATGTGGGATTAATGAGGGCTGAAATAGTGTATTGTAGTGATGGATCGGTGGATATTCCCTGCTGTTACGTACCTCCCGAGAATTTGCAATGTACGGTGAACTCGATCGGACTTGATCGTTTTCCGATACTTCACCTCGGCCGATCGACGAAAATTCGCCCACTTAAGCGCCGACTGCCTAGACCGAGGACCCCTCCGATGAAACTGGGTCGTTCTTTACTTGGAAAATCAAAATGAATCGTTGCAAGAAATCTCCCCGACATATTTTCGTCCAGCTGAGCGACTCTAGGAGCACGAAAAGCATTTCTTCCATAAATATAATAAATAAAGGCCGGTTAAATATGCCTGTGATAAAAGCTACTTCTCGAGGAACTGTCCCTCTAATTTTCGAACTGGGCCCTCGGTTAATTATCCCTTATCCGACTGCCAATCTTTTTTTAACTCGCATAATGTTCGTTATATAAGAGAACCACTTTAACAATTAATGATTCGAGACGTCGCAATCCTCTTAAAATTTATAACTCTCGAGGAAGCTGCAGGCCGAGTGAAAATGATACACCGGGAAGATCGTTCGCTGACATTCGAGTCGGATTTACTTTAATTACCGTATATTTTGCATTTAATTTCGCGGTGTGATTTAGCTTTCGCTCGAACTGCTTGAATGGTACTGCTCTAAAGGTGGAGTGTATTTAATGTGTACTTTTTAGTTTCCCGCATTTATACAGTGTAATGTGTTAAGGTCATTCGATGTTAATCACTGATAGTAATATTCTGCGCTCGTTACCTTAGTCACACTTCGAGCTGGAAATGTTTCTTTATAAATACATAAATTCTAAAAAAAAAAAAACTTCCTGAGACTTTTAGAACCGATAGATACTTTGAAAGATCAATATGCGATTGACTTTATTCTCTGTACTCGATGGAAATTAAAAGACTCCGATAATCGGTGATTAACTAAAATACTCTTATATAACGTCTTGTAATTTCTAATAGAAAAAAAAAAGGAAAGAAAAGAGGAATTAAACGTTTCCACTGAACATATTTTCTACTCTGCTTTCTCGTTCAATTCTTACTTGACAATTTGACGTTTAGTGCCTAGAAATAAATCCGCGAAGTGTGACTTCGAGAAGAAATGACGGCCACGAAACCGAAGAACGGAATGTCCCTACCAATTAAACACTAACGTAACACTAAATCGATAAACAATAAGTATATTTGTATGTAAGTTATTTTATAAATTGAGTCCACATATCAAAGATAATATTTTATAGACGCTAAGCAATAAAATGTAGGTACATCCTACTCAGATGGCGGGTTTTGGATTTTATTCAAGTCTCCACCAAAATGTCCCCGAATTGTAAAAATCATAAGTCTTGGTAATATTACCCTTTCCTTAATTTTCCAGATAATTTAGTCCTTTATTCCACGTACCCACAATTAGTATTATTTTTATTACTCTCCGAAGATACTTTTTACTTGAATTAACCAGTACAAAAATTGAGGTAAGTTTTTTGCACTCCATATTTTAGTTTAACGAAATCCCAAGATGGCACAATGGAGTGAAAACTCAAGAGAAAGAGTAACTATCGCCCTGAAGTACAATCCCATTTATTACGTTATATCGTAGACTTTATTGATACTTACTCGATTTGGCGATAATTCAATGTCCATTCTATAGTCTGGAGAGAAGGAAGAGCAATATCGAGAAACGTGACGGGAAATACGGGGAAAAGAAGGCGAAAGGAGATCGAAGTGACAATCCTTATTTAAGTCTCGAAATTTGATGTGACGCTCAAGAAATCTCAATTTTTATTTATATAACACATCAATCTTATAACGATCAGAAATGAATATTTTAGAAACTGATTTGCGAGGTACCTCACCGAAATGAAATTTTTGACGAATCAATGTCCTTATTATAAATTCGATATACTAGCCGTATATCCTTATTTAAGTCTCAAAATTTAACCTAACCCTATCAAAAGACAATATTAATTTTGCTCGTATATCACCTCCGCAACGGTGAAAAATTCACAAAAGTCATTCAGGTTGAATTCCATTACGATAAGTAATTATTTCGAAAAACTAATTTTTTCTAAATTTCTCGAAAACACAAAAATTATTGGAAAAATTCCATCGATCGCTTCATTGGACGTTTCGTATCGAGGAAACCGAGCATGTATGAGAAATATTAATGTGTACTGCTGATTGAAATGTACAGATTGAAATAGCGGAATGACGGAGCTCGTCGAGGCGAAATTTTGGGCGAAATTGTCACGCTGCAACGAGGCAATGTGCGTGCATTCGAGTTGCATGAATAATCGCGCCAAAAGCATATCGAGAGGCATGCATCGAATTCGCGATCTAAAGGCTTGAGCCGAATGATCGACCCAAATGGAAAATCGAATTTTGAGTCTCGATTCGGTGCGGACAAGATAATTCTGAAAATTCCCTAAAATATTCCAGCAGGATATCCCAATTGAGTAAAGTAAATAAATAAATCTCTCCCAGCGAGAGTTCCAATTTCGATTAAACTAGAGAGGGAACGGATACAAAATGAACCCACTTTGATCCCAGGTTGCATTAAACTAACATAATAATTCGATCATGCGTTACAATTACGCGCAAATAAATGCGTAGTAATTTGGCCGAGAGGTCGCGCTTTTGCAGCTTCCGGTTTGCACAAACGCGAGAATCCGTTTGCGGGAGCACCGATGGAAAAGCTAACCTAATGGCATGAAAACGTGCTACAAATGTTTAATTAATTATACACCTGGTGCATCGATCAGGGGGAATGAATTGAATTCCACGAACGAGGATTACTGCTCGCTTTTTACTCCGAGATGAATTTAATTATCGGTCTGTACAAGGTCAGTATATAAAATTATTTCCACATTTCGAAGGAGAGATTTTTCAATTTAAAATTCGAGACTTTTTACGAATGGATACTGGGAAGAGAGTTTCACAATCGAAATTAGTTCAACATGTATAGATAATATCGAAATAATTGGAGGGCGTGAAATTTATTCCAGTTAATTTTCCCTCATTTTAGGGCTTAACATTTCTTATGGTTTCCCCTAAATCCGAAGTGCAGCTATTTTGGTGGGAGGATTACGAGTGCATTTAGAGATGCACATCTCGTGCATAGGTGCGAAGCAATTGCAGTTCGGTAATAACAGGTACGTACGTACCATTATTACGTCCTTACCCTATGTACCTCTAAATACCAAGTAAAACTCAATATGAACTGAATGAAAATCACAGAATAAGGCCAAATAACAAATTACATTGAACATAATTATTTACTCGGGTATGTATGCACATGAAAGAAATCAAAAGTATATTCAACTGCCTGTTTAATTTAAGCCTTTTCAATTTGAAAAAAAGTATACTTTTACGCACGTACGTTAAATACAACATACGCACATACGATAATAAACACACACAATATTTTGCATAAGAATTCCCGAGTATAGATGCAGATACGTATATAATTTATCTATAGATGCTCTATTCCCATCGTTACATCAATTTCCTCTCTCTATTAAGCGTATCCGACCGCGTCTTGCATTTCCCGTCAGAAAATCGAAATTCGATAATAATATTTTCCCGGAATCAGCTCTCGGCACAATGGAGTCATGTCGGTGGTATAACGTGGAAAAAAGAGCTGCAGCTCTTTTTACGGATCTTTTTAACCTGCATCAAAAAAGAAAAAAGAACAGAGAAACATTCACATATATCTTCAGGTAGAGGTGCATTACAATGGAGGCCAAAAAACGCGTTTCGCCAATACAATGAAATCGATGCCGCAAACGTGCTCGCGTTGCCGAATTACCTTTCCCGCATAGAATAAAACCGCAGCCGGCTTTTGGCCAGCTTATTTTGTTAAATCAACCGAATTATTACACCGACGCGTGATCCACGCATTTAACGAAATGAGCCGAGCCTGCAAGCGAAAGAGGGAAAGATTTATTTATTCGCAGCGGGCCGCGAAAGGCATAAATTTTTCCCCACCCAACGAGTCGTCGTTATTTTACAACAATGCCAGGATGTCGGCACAATGTTACCATTATTTCTTTCCTACCCTTATATTAAACTCTCTGGTGTCGATATATTTAAAGACCCTCTGAATAATTAATTTTCTCTTTTAAGTTAAACCATCGGAATCCGTGCATCCCTTTAAGTTCTTTCTTTTTATTCCGCCGTGGATTTTTTTTACTGGCACTTTAGACCAAACCACCGAACACTCGTTAATTCTGGCCACGTACCAGACGAGAAAGTTTATGATCGTGTTCCGAGAATCCGAGGAATTCTACGGTGGTTTAGACTCGCGTGAAGAAAAAAGATCCGTATATTTCCGAAAGACCCATCCACTTAGAGATTAATCGGAGAAAAAAAATGAATCTCCACCAATGAAAGTTGATCCGCTGGGGTTTCGGAATTTAATTAGAAAAGTGGACATTTAATGTCAGTTTACATTCCAACTTTGTGGAGTTTTATAGGTACTCAGTGGGGTTTAGAAAAGGAATTGAGGTGACTAATAAATTTCGTATACCAGTTTAAAGGTGGTTCTAAAACGCAAGGCATGATTTTCGGGCGCGAAGTTTTCAATGCCGACGACAAAGAGCCCTCGCGAGAATCACTGTTTTCGATTTTCGAAATTCCTTCCAGTAATTGGCCCCGACTCGATTGCCTGGACAAATTTTGCGGCATGGGCTGCGAGTAATCCGATGAAACCCCGATATTCTCGGGGCGCGTGTGCGGAAACACCTATCGTTGCAGAAATCGGATCGTAATTCGTTATTACGACGATTAGCAAGGGGAACAGCAAACTGCTGGGGCCCGAAACTCGTTAAACGATGGACCAACGCAAAACGGGATCGCCAGGTCGAAATTGGCTCATTTCGAACCGGGCCAATTCATTTGGTGCGATCTCGTCAGGGGCGGTACGCGAATCGGCGAAAAGTGTCCGCCATCTTTGTCGGGCAAGCGCGGAGAAGAACGACCGAAAAGGGCGAATTAGGAGGGCAAACGCTTATCCAGAGAGAAGGAGATCGACAAGGGGAATGGAGACGGTTCAAGGAACGTTTCTTCCGGCGATAACCAGCAGACTTTGTCCCATAACCATTAGAGTTTGAAGGCCGAATAAAATCCCAAGGACTCGGGAGCAACGATTACTCCGGGCTGTCTCCATATCTCGAAACGAACCCTTCCCTACGCTCCGACTTGAAATATGTCCGCCATGGCGAGGGATCGAAGTGGAAATGGATACTCTCGCGTTCAGACAGACATTCGTTCACCCCTCGTGTTATTAGAGGGCAAATATTTACGGGGGTGTATCAACTGCAGATATTGAAGTCCCATTCGTCTCTTTTCCTCGTCCGTCGTCCCTCCCGGCGGCCATCTTGCGTAATCTCCTGCTCCCTCGGCCCTGTCTCTGCAGAGTTTCATTTTAATAACGCTCCCAGCGTGGTCGGGATAGTGCTCGTCATAATATTGGAAATTTCCCCCCCTTTCTCGGTTTTTATTTTCTTTCCACCGAACCGCGGCCAGGAGTTTGCGGAAACGCTTCGACCGCCATGCGTCTTCGCCAAGGATTCTCTTGAAGGAACCAAGATGGCCGCCGCCGCGCGTCGCAACGCTTACCTCCCCTCGAACCGATACGACCTCTTCTTTGTGTATTTCGCGTATCGGCTTGCGTGGGATATTATGTACGCGTATGTGGACACGGGAATATAATGGCTACGTACATCAGGGGGTCTCAAGACCCCGGTACTCGACTTCGCGACCTTCCTCGATGAAAGAGATCTTCGGGACGGAGAAGACTGAAGTTCGGCCTATGGAATCTGAATAATGCCTCGAGCATCCCCTCGTGTCCCTATTGTCATGGAATCTTCTATGGGGAGGTATAGGGTAAAGTACGGATAGACGCGTACGTTTTCAACGTGTACTTCTAAAGTCGTTATTTGCTTTCGTTTCCATACCATTCCATGTTCATATCATACCGTCATGTTTTATCTTCATTATATTATACTATTATTTGCCTAGGATCAATAGTTGTTATAATAGAACAAAAATAAGAAAGTTCTCGATTTGGGCATCTATCCTACTTAAACTAAGACAATTAAATATTAAAACCAAGTATATAAATGTATAATGAATACTTCACTCATCACTTTCCAACTCGAGGCTGCATCGATTCCTGATTTAAATTGACGAACATTTTATCTCGGATAATTTTTAGTTACACTTCATTATAGTTCAGAAGCGGTTTTTGAGGTTAGGAGTTTGACGATGCGAGA